AACTAGGATGACCGGTTTGTTTGGAACTTTCTCAGTTTTAGGACTAAAGCCTGAATACTGGTGACCCTGACAGGCACCCAAGCAGAAGGGGAAAATGCATTCACATGGATGAGGCTAAATACCTGACCATTCTGCCAGCTTGCAGGCTTGTGAGAGATTTAGGAGGCAATGGTTGACCTTTATAGCCCGCTCGTTGTCAGGCACACTCGCTACCTGACAGACACAGCTCCTTGAATTCTCAGAGCCACCATATTAGATGAAGAACGTGAATCCCAGAGAGGTCAGGCGACTTCCCCAAGATCACACAGCGGGGAGGTGGTCCGCTGCCCCCAAGGCCCAGGCTGTTAATCAGTGGGTTAAACTGTAAGGTTTGTGATACTCAGTTAAAGACACACCTCTCTGGAAATGCTTCCTCTCGTACAAACTGCACTGGCCCTGCTCATGTCCATCTCAGAATCCCTGTGGCCCCACTTGCTGACTGCCACCCTGAGCCTGTTTTCAGAAAACACCACAAACCTGTACAAGTGTAACTGCTTCTGGGCTCACACCCCGGGTGCCTTTCACACCTTTCTAAGGAGGAACAGACCCCGGAAGCCTTCTTCAGGGCTCACGCATTTCAACGTGGCCTACCCAAATCCCACAGCACCACAAAGGAAGCCCGCACCCCGGTCACCCAGGAAGGAGTCCCAGACGCTGCCCTTGCCTTATACAGGGTGACGTTGGAGGCGTGCGGAAAGTGCAGCGTGGCCACAAACAGGTGGACGTAGTCACTGTTCAGGCCCCCCTCATAAATGTTCTCTGCGATGATCTTGCTGACAAAATTTTTGCCGGTGCCCGTCCACCCGTGCAGGGAGAGGGTGAGGGGTTTCTTGGGCTTCGGGTTGCTTATGAAGCCAGACACGGCATTTACGATGACCTTCTTGGCGAGGTGCTGTCCGAACAGCTTGCTGTCCAGATCCTTCTGCAGCGCTGGGGAAATAACAGAACCCGTCAGGCGGGGGTGGGGGCCCGGGGCGCACCCGGCAACACCCCGCCGAGGCCACAGGTTGGTGTGAGAGGCGGCCGAGCGCGGGCGCCGCCGGGGGAAGGCTGCGGCGGGTCAGGGAGGCGCCCGGCCGGGCCGCGAAGGCGGGCGCGGGAGGCCACCGTCCGGCGGGCGAGCCCCGGGCCCGGCTCTTCCTGCCGGGGGGCCGCGGCCAGCTCTGCCAGCTGAGCTCGGGCCTCCGAGCACAGTCCGGGCGGAGGGCGGGGGTGGCCGGGGCAGGCCCCACGGCGCCCCCGCCGCCGCTCGGGGTCCGATGCAGCCCCGCGGGCTCGGCCCCCCCCCCCCCCCGGCTCCCGCCCCGTCCTACCCGCCCGGCTGAGACTCTGCTTCTGGCTGCAGCACTCGGCGAAGAGGCAGTAGAGGCGCGGGTAGGAGATGTAGCCGGTGAGGACGCCAGCCAGGGCCAGCCCCAGGCTGATGGGCTCCACCGCCCGCACCGCCCACGGCGCCAGCAGCAGCAGGCCCAGCGCCGCCCGGCCCAGCTTCATGCCCGGAGCCGCGCCGCGCCGCGCCTGCTCGCGCTGCCGGCCGCCCGCGGGACGCCCGCCGCGCTTCCGCTTCCGCCCGCTGCGGCCGCCATCTTTGGGCGGGGAACCGCCTCCTGAAGCCGGCCGCCGCCATCTTTGGGAGGGGCAGGGCCCTTCCGGGTTCCGCTTTACGGCAAAACAGAGGCGACGCAGGGGGACCCGCGGCCACCGCCTCGCGCAGGCGCGCGGGCTCCCCGTTAACTGGGTGACCTGTGGGTAGAGCATGGCTGGCTGAGTTTATTCAGATTCCCTTAGGTTTTTTTGTTTTAATTTTTTTTAAAGATTTATTTTTATTTATTTATTTGTACAAGCACTGGGTACAGTCAGAAGCGCGGGAGAGTGAGAGAATCCACCAGAGCCAGAGCGGGGAGCAGAGCAGGCAGAAGGACCGAGGTGGGACCCGCCTCCGGTGGCCGGGGAGCAGCCGGGGATCGAACCGGCGCCGCAGAGGCCGCGGGCAGCTTCGCAACCCAGCGCTCAACCGCTGCGGCCCAGTTTTTTGGTTTTTTAACCTTTTTATGAGGCAGGATCCCATCCAAGATGCCACGTTGTCCTTGTTGCGTCTCCACGTGCTCCTCTCGGATGGAAGTTTCGCGAGCTTTCCGCGCGTTTCCTGACCGTGACAGTTTGCGGGAGTTTTGAGCAAATCTTTTGTAATATCCCCCACTATTGGAATTTGTTGTGATTCTCAAGATTGGACCGTGGCCTTGGGTTTGGGGGAGGAGCAGAGGTAACGAACAACGTGCCAGCTTTGTAACCTATCAGGGGTACAGACTGTTTATGACCTCTGGTGCTGACCTTCGGGTTTCTCCACTGACACCCCACTCCCAGCCCCGCTGTTTGAAAAGTCATGAACAGCGCACACGCAGGGGCTAGGGAGTTAGGCTCCCCGCTTGAGGGCAGAATAGCTACGCACATCATTTGGGGGAATTCTGCGCGGGTTATTAGTCTTTTCTCCCCCATTTACTTAACTTATCCTGTTGTTTGTAACAATATGGATCCCCTGGATATTTATATTATGCTGTGGGTTGCCATCCAGTACTAATTTTGTTAAATTTGTTTCACCTTTGGTTATTGGAGCTGTCAGTTGGCTCCTCTGCTCCTTTGACTGAACATCCCCACCAAGAGTGCATTTTGTCGTCCCTTTCACATATCCCGACCAAGGGTGTTTTTTTTTTTTTTTTTTTAAGCATTTCCTTACTTTCCAGCACTCCATGATGTTCCAGGTCCATCATAAGTATTTCCTCTTCCATTTCTAGAATCAGCAATTTCAATGGACCCGGTTCATTTTATGGGAGAACAGGGTTAGAGCTGGGTATGCTCCTTATTCATGTGGTATCATTTCTTTTAAACCCTCTCACTTGAAAAAGAATTGTGTAGACCAACCCCTGTGTGTGTGTGTATATATATATATATATATATATACACATATTCTTAAATATTTCTAAACGTAATCACCTGTACCTCTGTGAAACTAAAGCATGAATTCTTATTAACATTATCTACCCTACTACATGGGTAACGTGTGCCTTTTCCCATGCTTCTCTAGAAATTCCCACTCACTGGGAGCCAGTGAGAGAGCTGGCTCCCACCCTCTGGTGGCCATTTTTATGTATTACTATTTTTTGAAGATTTATTTTTATTTGTGTATACAAGAACTGAGGTGTAGGCCAGGGGTGCAGGGGATAAGAGGATTCATCATAGAGTGGGGGGCAGAACAGGCAGATCTACTGAAATACACTGCTGAGGGGAGCAGCTGGCAAGACAAGGAGAGGTCTGCTGTGCCATGTGGGTCAGCTCCCTGGTTAGGGATCGAACTCTTGCTGCAGTGGCTGGCAATAGCTTGATAGTGCTGAGAGTTCAACCACTGTGCCATCAGGGAGCCCCTGGTGGCCACTTTTATACCCTCTCCACTAATGGAAACTCTGGCAAGCAGCAACTGCAGCATCCACTTATTTGCCCACCCATCACCTAGTCGAGTGCCCGTGTCCGGGAATGAGCTAAATCCTAAGTGTTCACATTGGTTGTCTGCACACTGTGGGCAACCGATACATGCCTGTTGAAATATTTTTCAGTTTCAATTTTTTCATGTTGTATCCAAAATAAAAATATTGAACACCATTTTTAAGTCAAATAATACCACATATCATCTCTAATCCTCACAAAGTTGGAGGTAGGGGTTACCTACCCATCCATTCATATTTTCATGGCCTGCCCACGTGTTTGGTTAAGGACTAAACCTGGGGATTCAAAGAAAAAAAATGAGGTACACCCGACTCCCACCGTAACTGACTCTGCATTCTCATTGGGGGTGGGGAGCTTACATTTTACAGAATAGAAAACAGTCAGAGGGAAGGGGTTTTGTCCAAGGACATACTAGTCAACTATGAGCAGGGTTCGGATCTGACTCCAGACCCAAACTGCTGCACCTCCCCCTGCAGTGACCCTTAGGGCTAATGGCTTGCGCCACGGTCCCTAGGTCCGGCTGGGCAACCAGCGCGCAGGAGGAGAACAGCAAAAAACCGCCTGAAGACATAGATAAGACGGAAGCCTGTTGAAAGATAACGACCACCAGAAGCCACTACAGGAATGCTGTCCGCTCGGAAACTTATCTCACCTTCTCTAGACCCACAAACTTTATTCTAATACAACTGTCTCTCTAAAATCTTTTCTCTTTCTCTGTTTAAAAGGTCATTGGTTTGCCGATTAAAAAGAACATACGAAATCTAATAACTAGGCTGATTCAAATGAAACGTTACTAAACTCTGTGTATTAATTGAACTGCTAGCTTAATAATTTCTCCGTTGTATACTTAGCCTTGTTTGTATTAACCTAAATGATAAAAATATTACATTGTGAAAAGTAAAATTCACCCGTGTTAATTATTAGTAATAGTGAGTAGTTAAAACAAAAAGTAATCATATAAAACAAAAAGAAAAATTAATAGCCTAACTACTTAGGAATGCGCCTGGGTCCAGATGTAAATCACTGCCCTGTCAATGATAAGCTAAACCTATAAGCAAGCTGATTTCTTCACTGATGTTCGCCATTCCTATGCCTTTAGAAAACATATATATACTGGTCACCAACTCAAATAAAATTACACTCAGATTTTCACTCTTGAAGTGTGTCTGGTTGTCATTTCTTTAACCGAATCCCTGACCACCCTGCGCAGTCTCTCAACCCTGAGACGGCCTCATCGTCTACTGCTGTGCTGGTCCGCGGCACCAAACCTCTCTAACCTCAATGCCTACTTTGACTGAGCCCAGAAGCCAACCCACCTGTTTATTCCTCATCCCAACTCATTTAAATACCTCAGGAAAAATGGCAGTGCACGTGACAATGTACTTGGCAGCCGGCAGGCTCTCTCAGAACTGCCCAGCCCCCAGGCTCTGAACATACTACCCTGGGTTGGTGTGAAGACACACAATACAAACAAGAAGGTTGGAGTCATTTTGTATTTAATTAAGTGCTGAAAGTGCAAGAAATTGTTTTTCTTTCTTGATGAAAAGAAACGGGTAACTTTGCAAAAGTCAGAAGATACTCATCTCCCTTTGATCCCACCCTGGACGTTTCTGCCTCAGGTGGGCCAATCGCAGATAGTGAAGGATGCATCTCCGAACCCCATGGCGGGTACTGGAAGGCAGACAACGTGGTTGCGTATACATTAATAAAAGCACACTCTGCAGGGCCTCATCCCACCCTGGACACACAGCTGTTTGCTCCTGACCCAGAGCAAATACTGAGAAAGTCAACATACTTATAGACAAGGTTTAATAAGGCTCACAAGAATAGACTTTACCTCCAAATAGGAAAAGGACACGTTGCTTTGTTTCAAAAGGTTACAAATTCAGTGCCTGAAAAAATCCAGCAGGTAAGCAGCAGAACTAACAGAGTCTGTTTGTGGAAACATCTGCTAGCAAATGAGCAGGCTTCAGTCCAGGAAGCCTCTGAAGGGGGTGGGGGTGGGCAAGGCGGCTCTCCACATCCCTCCAGCACTGTTCCCCCAGCACCCCCTCCCCCCAAGTCCCTCTCAGTACCGCCTGTTCATCTTCTTGAACTTCTCATAGTGATAGTCATCCGTGGCCTTCTCGTTAGCGGGACGCTTGCGGTTGGGCGGGGACCCTGAGAAAGACAAGAACAGCGCTGTTTGCCAAGCTCGAGGCCACCGGCAGGCAGTTCCCCCCGCCAGCCTCATCCCCCCCACCACCCCGGGCCTTTGTTACTGGATGGAGTGAAATAAATACGTGGTAGAGGCAGGTGCCAATCAAAATGTGCTGCCCCAGATGAACAGCAGTTCCCGCGAGCTTGGCCATGTGCCAGGCTCAGTGCTCGGTTTTCCTAGACGTGGCTTCCTTTAAACCTCCTCCTGGAAGGGCCGTGTTACCATCCCTGCTCGGAGGTTAGGGGACTTGCTCAGGGTCACCCAGAAAGCAAAGGTAGGTGGACAGTTGAACCCAAGTCCGGTTTCGCCAAAGCCCTTGATTTGCTCCGTGTTAATAACTCGAACCTCTTCGGGAATCGGAGACTACGTGACCAAGATATTGCAGAAAATAATTTCGCAAGTAAAAAGGAAGACACAGCACCTGGCTGGGCTTTTCGAACCTCAGCAGATTTAACATTTCCTGAGACTCATCCCACTGGTGACGAAAAATATGACCCCACCGGGGCCGCTGAGCATGTGGGGAAGGGGAGCTGCTGTGGCTGCTGCTGGCGGAGAGCAAACTGGCATCCTGCTCTTGAGGCCCATCTGGCCTCAAGATGTAGCCCCAGGACACAACAGTCTAGACTGACCACCTGAACACTTGGCTAAGACAGGGCGGAACGGGACAGAAGCAGAGGGGAAGGTGTGTTGACGGCGTCCATCTGGCCGACGGAGCAGGAAGTGGCTGCTGAAAAAGCCTGTCTTCACCAGCAGGGCCTGGCGGGACGCTCTGGTAAGAAGCGGAGCTCCTACTAAGCCTGGACACACCATATACGGGTATCTCACATAGGCAAACATTAAAGGAAAGCCTGGCAGGTTGCACGTAAACCATTAAGAGAGGTTGTCTTCAGGAGGTGAAAGCACAAGGAGCTTTCCAGTTACTTTTGCTCAGTGACTCTCTGGGGCTTTAGTCTCCGTGGTGCTTTGCAGCCCAGGGACGCCTCAGTGCACCAGAGGGAGGTTCGACTACGAGTCCCACTTTACAGATGCCGAAGCTGCTGCTTGGAAAGGGAAGGCCACGGTCCAGAGCAGGGACTGGCCGCCCAGCCTCTGAGGCCCTGGGTACTCACGCTCAGGCTCCGGCCTCTCTGTGTCACCCACTCGCAAGGGCCGGGCTTTGGGCTCTTCTTTGTTTCTCCGGATAGGGGCATTGAGCTCCTCATGATAAACTGGATAGGAGACAGGAGGGGAAGACACGTCAGAGAGGAGGGGTGGGTGGGGTGCAGGCAGGGACAGGGCAACCCCACGCAGCTTACATCGGTTGTGCTGCACGTAATTCACCGCCATGTTGGTGGGCACGAAGGACGTCTCGCTGTCTTTCTTCTTGTTCTGCTGCTCCGCCAGCAGCCGGGCCTTGGCGTCCTCCGTGGAAATGATATTTTTTATTTTCGCACTAAGGGAGAAAGGCCCACACGTCAGATGGCTCCCGTGTCCTCAGATGGAACCAAATGGCAAGGCCGGCAGCCCACCACTGCGTGAAGCAGTTGTGGCTCTGGGGCATGGCCCTAGTTTGCCGAGCTCCCGCACGGTCAGATTATCTTGGGGTGCTCAGGGCCATCAGGGACGCAGGAGTTACTCTCCTCCTGATCAAGTGGAAACTGAACCTCAGAGCAGCAAAGCAACTGCCTTGGCCCCAAAACTAGTCAGGCCAGAAAAGCATGGGAACCGGAAGCCTGGATTTTCTACTCAGTGATGACTCTGCTTGAGTTTCCTTCATGACAATCCCCTTTTAGAGCAAAGGTTTTGTAGTAAAATGAAGGGGGGATGGGGAGGAGGGGGAACGAAAAATAGGCAGAAGGCTGCGGCACTTCTGCCCTCAGCAGCCAGGACCCCTAAGTGGCTCAACTTCTCTGACCAACCACCCCAGGAAACCCAGCCAGAGACAGTATCATTTAAATCCGTGGGTTTCCAAGGAGACAGGTAAGCATCCCCTTAACTTTTGCCCAGAAAGAGGGGCTCATCTTCCTGCCCAGGGCCCCGAGAGGTGAGGTGTGCGAGGGGAGGCCCAGGGAACGTACTCGATGCCCAGGTCCACCTCTGGGATGCCGCTCAGCATCTGGTTAGAGAGCATCTCCTCTGTCTTCTTTGCCGAGGAGACGCGGATGTTTTCTGGAAGTTCGTAAAGACAGTCCTCTGCGTTCTTTGGCTTGACTTTCTGCTCCTCGTGATCCACGATCCCCTTCCTCTTCTTTAGCTCTGTCTCGATGTACTTCATCCTGAAATGAGATACCCACAGGCCTCAGGAGGGCAGGCTGTGAAGCCGGTGGCCCCGGCGCTGGTTCTTAGCAAAAGGAGAACAAGAAAAAGAGCTCTTGAGTTTTTTTCATGAAGCTCAAAGTTTTCAACTAAAAGCTCCAGCCTTTATTGTGGGATTATGTGCTACGGTCCACCGGCGGCGCGTGTAAGGCTGTCTAGAGACAGAAAGATAGTGGCAGATGGGGGATGCTTGACACCCTTGATGGCAAAGAAGTGAGCCAAATTCAGTGCTTATGCCTCCAGTGTCGGGGAGCTATCAGAACCTAGGACCCCAAGAACCACTCTTTTCAGGAACTTTTCAAGATTCTCAAACCTGGGAGATGTGGCGAGAGGGGTTCATTTTGACATCTTTGGATAGTTCTAGAAATGCCTTCTGCAACTAAATATCTTGGACTCCCTCTGGCTGAAGTCCACCCCCAGCTGGTCACAGGCAAATAGACCAACACCTACATGTCGGCGTCCTCGTCCCTGCGGTTGGTTTCTGCGGAAAAGGAAGTTCCCAGGTGGAGGTCTTCCTCTTCACTGATCCTAAACAGGGAAAATGTGAAGTCACAATTCGGTGAGGCCAGGTTTGATGTTACATGAACAAAACAAGTACCATCAAAAGCAAATATAATACCTCACTCACAGTCAGAGAGAAAGAAAAATATATATATGCACATATGCAAAAGTTGAAAAAACTAAAAGTACAGGCAAGCTGTGTCCTCTTGAGATACTTTGGGAGGTGAGCAGATACTTTCATCTTTTTACTTTTCCATTGTTAGAGTGTATTATTTTCGTGACTGTATTTTTACGTTTTTCTTAAAAATGAAGAAAACGCCACGTGGGTTTGAAAGACAATAAAGAATGTATATTTACTTAAGGAGTCTACCCATGTCACTGTGAGCTAACATCTGAACAGATTTTGCTTTCTTTTGCTCTTAAATGACATGCTCATTACAAAGCACAAGGACACCAGAGGGTGTGGCATCACAGCTGCAGCCCCAGGCCCAGCTCACTGAGGCCTCACAGCCAGCAGGGGCTACCTGTGAATGAATGTCTCCCAGTGGCCTGCACTCACTTGTCTTTGCCCCTTTCCTTCAGTTTCTTCATGTCCACCATCCCGCCGGTTTTCATCTGGAAGGGATCATCCTGCCAAAGGCAAACATGGCTGAGAGGAAGCATCTCCATAACTGGCAGCAGAATTCTTTTTTTTTTAGAAAACTCAATCATCTACCTAAGGGCAGACACATTCTCCCACTGCCCAGGGAAGACCCACAACTCACCACTAGTGTGGTCTCTTCCTGTACCTTCTCTCCCACTAGCAGGGCCACCGCACTGAGCAAAACCAAAAAGGAAGAGAGAAATGGTATAATTCAGAGATGCACAAGGACCTTTAGGAAGTTTGTAGGTTGCAACACATGGTCAGAGTGACACTCAAGGGGTGGGCGCAGGTCAGGTGGAAAAGCCTACAGGAATAAAAGCAGGCTCCAAAAACATTTGAGGCCCTCGGGTGGGGGTGGGGGTGAAGCAAGTGGTATACCTCCCTATAAAGTCATTCAGCATCATTTTGGTTTAGTTATCTCATTTTTTTTTTTTACAGATTTATTTATACAAGAACCGGGGTACAGGCCAGAGGCGCCGGAGGGTGAGAGGATTCACCAGAGACAGAGTGGGGAACAGAACAGGCAGACTGACAAACTACACTGCTGAGGGGAGCAGTGGGCGAGACAGGAGAGGTCTGCCGTGCCATGTGGGTTTCTGCCTGGCTGGCCAGGATCGAACCCACACTGTAGAGGCTGCAGACAGCTTCACAGCGCAGCGCTCAACTGCCCGCCTCACCAGGGAGGCCCGTTAGCAATCTCATTTCTATGATTCTGCCTTCAAGGAAAATGAAGCTAAAGACAAATGTAGGTAAACATCTGGCGGCCTTATTTGATGGTGAAAATTTACAAGATAAGCAAACCATGAGACCGCATGGCTCAGGGGGTGTCCTGGTTAAACATGTTCGAGGCGCTGGCCCCGCTCCAGGAAGTGGGTGGCAGACAGCAGGTCAAGAGCTAGGGCTGAGGGTTATTTGTGATAGCAACCTGGGTGGGGTCATGTCTGTCATACTAGAATCCCCTCCTCCAGGTACCACTCCCATATGCCCCCCGACCCGGCCCTATATGCCCCCTACCCACCTCACCCCATTGGGTCTCTTCCGTAAGTTCTGCACCTCTCGGGTTTCTTCCAGTTTTAATCTGAAAAACAGGCAGTGCACAGGCTGAGAGACTCTCCCAACTCAGAGGCAAAGGCCGCTTCCGTGAGCACCCCCACCCCATAGGCTACCGTGAGTCTAGACCCACCGGGAGTCAGATCTACTCTGCATCTGGGGACATCTCTCCCAGCTGCTTGGCCTTGGGTGGCTTAGAGTTTCTTCGTTCGAAGAAGAGAATTAACACCCGGCTCACAGCTAGTATGGTGTCCATGAGGCGCCAGGACAACAGTACCAACTTGCTAAGATTTCAATTCCATGTTTGTTTGTTTTTTAAGATTTACTTATTTATGCATACAACAGCTGGGGTATAGGTCAGAGATGTGGGGGGTGAGAGGATTCACCAGAGACAGAGTGGGGAACAGAACAGACAGATGGACCCAAGGCACTGCTGAGGGGAGCAGCGGTTGAGACAAGAGAGGTCTGCTGTGACATGTGGGTTGCTCCCTGGCCGGCCGGGGATTGAACTCACACTGCAGAGGCTGTGGACTGCTTCATAGTGTGGTGCTTAACCCCTTGCGCCACCAGGGAGGCCCCTCAATTCCATGTTTTAAAGGCTCGATTTAGACAAAAGCGGTTTGTAGTTTGAACTTTACTTACTTTTATGTATTTTTTTAATCAAGCTAGGTTCTTTTTTTAAAAAAGTTTTATTTATTTATGCATACTAGAACTGGGGTAGAGGCCAGAGGTGGGGGTGGGGGTGGGGGTAAATGTGAGAGGATTCACCGGAGACAGAGTGGGGAACAGAACAGGCAGACTGACTGAAATACACTGCTGAGGGGAGCAGCGGGAGAGACAGGAGAGGTCTGCTGCATCACATGGGTGAGCTCCCTGGTCCGGGATTGAACTTAGACAACAGGGCTGGTGATGGTTTGATAGCACTGAGAATTTAACCCCTGCGCCACCAGGGAGGCCCTCATATAATGTTTTTATTTTTTTTTAAATTTTATTTCATTTTTTTTTAATAGAGGCATGTTTTATTCATTTATTTATTTGTTTGTTTTGTTTATACATGCACTGGGTACAGTCAGAAGTGCGGGAGGGTGAGAGAATTCACCAGAGCCAGAGCGGGGAGCAGAGCAGGCAGAAGGACCGAAGCACACTGCTGAGGGGAGCAGCGGGCGGCAGGAGAGGTCTACGCGCCATGTGGGACCCTCCTCCAGTGGCCGGGGAGCAGCCGGGGATCGAACCGGCCGCGGGCAGCTTCGCAACCCAACGCTCAACCGCCGCCCCACCAGGGAAGCCCCATACAATGTTTTTAAAAGTGCTATTGAGACTTAACAATATGAACATGTGCAAGATGGTGTCAGCTAAACTGTTGTACTGCTGAGTGGTTGTCAACAGGAACACAGTCACTGACACTATGTCAATGGCAGAAATGTCCATCACATTTTTTACTTGAAATACCAAGAACTTGTGAAGATTTATTGAGAGTGTCTGGGAAAGGTGACTCTGCTGATCTAAACAGCTCTCCAAACACACTTGAGACACTGGCCCCTGCCTTGTCAGCAGTGGTGCTAAACCACACAGCAGTCTGTGAAAGATCTTGAGACACTGCTCCAGCAGTTCACCGGGCACTCCTGCAGACAGCAGTGCTAGCGGTGCATGGGTCTCAGGAAAATAAGGGAAATCTGTTTCCTGCCCCAACAAAGCTACTCCTCCAAGGCACAGGGTCAAGATGTCAAACAGTCCCTCTAAGTAACAATTTTATCAGCTGGCCTTGCCTGCCAACACCGGGACGCCTTAGCTCTTGCAAGGAGACTGACTTTGCACTAGCACTGGACGTCAGTTCCTGGCTGGTTAAACCCACTCCTCCAACTCTATGAAAGGTACATTTCAACTACATAAGGCCTTTATTTCTTTCCTCTTCCCTGTGCCTGAACAATAGAGTAAATCATCTATACCTGGTTTGGAGTCTGTTCCTGCAGTAATGACTTATTAAGAAGTAGTATCCTTTCCGCCACTGACCTGTGGGGCACTAGTACTATAACTTACAGATTCCACATAAGCCTGTGCTGAGATATCGGCAAAGACAATCTCATTCTCTGAGCTATAATTTTTGCTTCCCCTGCAAACAAAATAGTCCCCGAAATGGGCCTCTCTGCCCCGTGGACGCCTCGCTCCAAACTCACCGAACCTCCTCTGAATCTTGCTCATCTTCCTCCGATTCTGAGTCGGCCCGGCGCCGGCGAAAAGTCTTCCCGGTGACCGGCATAGTGGCGCCGGCCCCGCGGTCCAGCCGCTGAGCCGTGGACCCGGGTGCTTCCGGCGCGCGCCGCTGTCGTCAGAGCGCCGGCCCCGCCCGGCCCCGCCCCCAGCGCGCCCGGCCCCGCCCCCGCCAGCCCAGCGCGCCTGGCTACGCCCGGATCCGCGGCGTCGGCCTCTCGCGATTGGATGGCCGCGGGGGAGGGGGCGGGGCGCGGCCGGGCGGTCCCGCGACCCTGCGCCGCGCCGCGGAGGGCGCGCTGGGCTGACAGGCGGCGGCGGCGCGCTTGCGACAGCAGGTGAGTTCCGGGCCGCCGCCGGCTGCTCCAGGGGGCCGGGCCTCTCCGAGCCGAGGCGACCCAGCCCTGCTTCGGGCCCCGGGGCCCTGGCCCTGCCGGGCGCGCAGGACGCCGCGGCCAGGTGAGCGGGGCCCGGGACCCCAGGCCGCCCCGCCGCCCCGGGGAGTCCCCGAGGGCCCCGGCGCCCCACGGCGCGCCCCCGGGGGCTCGTCGCCTCCGGGCTCGGGGGCTGCCGTCTCTCATCCCCGCCGGAGCCCGGGCCCCCGAAGCACGCCAGAGGTGCCTCGGGCGTGGACTTGCCTCCCCGGGGTCTGGGCCCTGACGTGCATTTTTTTCCCTTTGGGGACAAAAGGTGACCACTTCTTGGGGTGTTACAGCAACGTCCCAGCGCCTCTGCCCCGCCTGTCGCGGCCTTAGCCTCTTCTCCCCAGGAGAGGCGCACCTGGGGCTTGCAACCCCCTCGGGAGGCGTCGGCCGAGGGCTGCACCGCGTGTGTGCGGGCCTCGCCCCGGGCCTTGGGCCTTTGTCGGGAGGGCTGTTACTCTGCCCTCCGCCCCTTCCATCCCTAGGATGCTATGAGATTGCAATTGACTTGGAAAATGGGGGTCCAGAAACGCTTAGGAAATCACTCAAAGCATAAAGAATGGCTCACGGGACTTTGAGGACCCTTAGATAGTAGTTTTCCTTTTGTCAACATAGGCCAGGCTTTTCCTTTGAAGGAACTATCTCTTAAAGCACTTGCTAGGTGGCGGGCACAGAGCTAGCTGGGCATTATCTCCTCAACCACCCCAGCAGTCCTGTGGGGTACAGTCAGTTGTTTTTCATTTATAAGTGGAGATACGGAAGCTCAGAGGCTATCAGAGCCTCGAGTTGCCCAGCTGGAAGGTGGGGCAGGCATGAGTTCCAGGCCTATCTCAGCTGCTGCATGTTTGGCAGTACCTGGCACAGTAAGATTTTGGAAATGTTTGCTGCGGCCGCTGCTATTGCAGCTACATTGCTGGGGGAGGAGCTGGAGGCCTCTTTTCCTGGTTCCCTCTCTGGAAGACCCTTTTGAAGCAGGGCAGCATTTCTGGGATGCTTGGCTTTTTTTCTCTGGAACCATCTCTTCTGAGACTGTTGTTCTCTTCCTCGGACTGAGACAAATAGTGTACTCAAGACAAATAGTGACTCAAAGCCTTTTGGCTTTGGTCAAAAGCCATATATTAAATATGTCGAAGTCTTGCCCTCTGCAGTCCAGTTCTGCCAGACCCAGGTGCATGTGGGAATTGCTGGACGCGGTGGTTGAAGGAGAGGCCCCTCAGGAGTCACTGCGGGAACCTAGGGTGTCTCCCACCACAGCACAACACTCGCAGGCAACTCAGATTCTGCCCTCCCTCCAGGGGTACTGGACAGCGCTAAGGAGAGGGCCAGGAGGCCACAGATATCTCTGGTCCCCCTCTTGGCTGGAGTCCCAGGGAGGAGCATCTGGTACAAATGAGCTGCCTCCACCGGGCGAGGCCAGAGTGCCCAGTGGTACCACCTGGTCTCTGGCACATGGAACTAAGGCTTGTTTAGCAAAGTACTGCTGAAAAACTGGAGCTGTGAATCTGGCGGTGGGAACCTGGTTGGAGGGACTGCAGACCCCCTGAAGTCTTGCTGGGCTGTCTCGGGCGGGGGGATGAAACTGCTTCTCAGAGGGAGCCTTCAGGAAACGTGGGCTCTTTTCAGGTCAGAAATGAGTCTGTGGCTTCGATTTTGTTTGCGTTTCATTGTTCAGGGAAATATACAAGTTTGGCTTGGATTTTGGTTGGTTTATTAGCTCCTTTCTGAAACCCGATGAAATGACGGCTTGTTTCAGGGTTCATGAGCATTAGTGTCTGGTAGACCTGAGATCCAGCTAAGTGATCACATTTCACAGCCTGGCCAGAGTAAGTATTCAGTGAGTGTTTAAGAGATTAATTTACTTATTCAATAAATAGTGAAAGCTTTTATTTTATGAAACGGGCATCGTTCTAGATGCTTGAAGTCAATGAGCAGAAGAGACAAAGGATCCGTGATCTAGTGGACTCTACATTCTCATAACGTAGTACCTGAAGCATGTCCAAGGCAATGGATGTTCTAGAAACCAAAGGAGGCAAGGGATCAGGAGTGGGAGGGAGGATCGGGTTCCACATTTAAGTTAATATATCCTTGTTTGATATGGTTGATAACTTGACAAATGCAGCAGTGGACTGAAGAATAGGCCCTGAGGTCAAGTCCCAGTTCTGGCAACTTCCCATGTGACTTGGGGCAGATGCCTTTTTCTCCCTGCCATGTCCCTGCTCTGCCTTTCCTAGCCGTGTGATATTAGTCATGAACCCCTCAGACCCTCACGTGCTTTGTGGTCTGTGGTCTTAGTCCAAGATCTGCGTATACCACAGGGTTTGCAGCTTCTCAGTGATCTGTCCAGTCTCTGCTAGCAGCCTGCTAACCCCCAGGGACTGCCAGCCTGTGACAGCCCCAACCTGTGCATGCTCCAGTTAATTGGCTTATGGGGCCCAAAGCAGAGTGTAGTACCAGACTTGGGGCTCTCTAGCCATGTTACCCTAGACTTAAGGGATTTAAGTTGAGCAGAAAGATGCACTGTGAAGAATGACTCAGAAGAGGCTCTTGTAAGGGAGGCCCCCCCGGGGGCTGGGAAGGCTTTCCCTTGGAGTGTGAGGAGGTAAAGATCATGCCATGCCAGCTGGCGCTTTGGGAGAGGTTGTAGAAATGACTGTTCAGACCCATGATGATGAGCAGATAGTCCTGGGTTTGGAGCTGGTTCAGTTACTTAGTAGCGGTGTGACCACCCACTTCCCTCTCCCAGTCTCTCCAGTTCTGATGGCAGTGCAGGGGATCTTGCTCCCCCCCCCCATCCCCCCCCCCCGCCCCCGTGGTTATGAGGATTCAGTGAGGCTTGTTCATATCAGCTCCAGCACAGGGGCCTTTGGGGCAGGAAGAGGCCTGAGGGCTCTGCTGTGAGAGCCAGAGGGTGCGTCTGTAGGGAATGGAATCTGGCTTCAAGGAGGGCTGGTTCAGTGTTTAGGGAAAATAGAGTTGTTTGGAAGTAGAATAGAGGGTTGGGGGAGCAGGGAGGAATATGGGTGCCAGTGTGAGGGGGTGGGATGGCTAATGTCAGGAACAGGGCAGGAGGGTGTCCCTGTGTGGGTGGGTGGCTTGGCGGCCTCACTGTCTGAGGAACTTGGCTCTTGCCTGGGGGAGGATGTAGCCAGAACCTTCAGGAAAATGATGAGTAATGGGCACCTGAGGCCTGGACTCAGCTGCTGGTGCCAGGCCCCGGGGGTGGAGGAGCACTTACCCCCTCATTAGCTGCACGCATCCGGGAGAGAAAAGTGCCTGCCTTTAATCAGGATGAAGCCTCTTGAATGAACTTCCGGGGCCTGGAAAGGGAGGGCTCTTTGCCAGACCTACCTCCCAGCCTGCCTCCTTCCCTCTTGCTTTCTTGTCCCCAAGAGAGGAGCGGGACTGGTGGGTCAGGAGGGAGAAGTGCTCTGGTGGGACGCAGCCCCACAGCTGGCATTCAGGCACTGAACTATGGCGTGGGCACCTTGCTACCCCCAACACAATCGGGCCAGCTGCCCGGATCCAGGTTTCTCAGCAGCAGGTTTTCCCCTCTGAACTTTTATTAGATGCCTATTGTGCACACTCCATGTGTTTGGGGGGGCGCCGGGGGCATGTGAGGTAGGGAGGAAGGACTGAGGATGCAGACCCAACTGCTCGCCCCAGTTGTGTCCCTTCCTGGCTGCGTGGTCCTGGGCACGCACTTCCCATGCTCTGCTCCCCAGTGCGATGAGCAGCGGTGAAGCTCTCGGCCTTGTGCCTTCCTCCAAGTAGGCGCTGCATCCTGGGCTGCTGCTGTTACGTTTGGGTTGCCCTTTCCAGTAACCTGTCCCCCCTCCCTGCTCCTAACTCAAACTAGGGGAAAATACAGAAAGTTACCAGAATAATAGTGAATTCCCACTCATACCCTTTACCTTAACTTACTAATTATTAACATTTTCACCCTCTTTACTTTCTGTGTGTTTAAATGCAGGTGACCCTTGAACAGTGTGGGTCTGAGCTGTGCACACCACTTGCGCGGAGGTTTTTTTTTGACCCTGGGGCTCTGCATTCATCAATTCAACCCTGCAGAGCCCCAGCCCTCCTTGTTCAGGAGCCAGCTGTGCTCATTATCATCATCCCTATTATTGCTGCCCCATTTAGGAATAAGTTGCAGACATCACGACCCTTTACCTCTAGTTTCAGAGAGATTCTTCTGAGAACAAGGACATCATAATATGAACCAGGAAACAATTTTTCTCTGCAGGAACTTGCCAGGGCTGCTGTAACCAGGCACCGCAGCCAAGGGCCTCCGCGCGGTTCTGGGCTGAAAGTCCTCAACAGCCTCTCCTGCTGAAAGTCCTGCTGCAGCCTCTCCTGCTGCGGGGGGCTGTCTGCGGTATCCTCACCCTTTCCTGTGTGCAGACATTTTGGTGGCTTTCCTGGAATCCAGATTCCCTTCTGACCAAGTCAGATTGGTTTAGGGCCCACCTAATGACCTCATTTGAACTTATCTCCCAATAAGATTACATCCTGAGGACCTCCCTGGTGGCGCAGCGGTTGAGCTCTGGGCTGCAAAGCTGCCGCAGCCTCTGCAGCACCGGTTCCATCCTGGCGACCAGCAAGGGTCCCACATGGCGCGCAGACCTCTCCTGCAGCGCCCGCTGCTCCCCTCAGCAGTGTCCTTCGGTCCTTCTGC